ATACTCCACATTGGTTTCCCAGCTCCAGTATGAATTCTTTACTTTCTTAATCCTTTTTAATTAATTAATTAATTTATTTTTGAGTTGGAGTCTCACTCTGTCACCCAGACTGGAGTGCAGTGGCCACTCCCTGCCACCACAGCCTCTACCTGCTGGGCTCCAGTGATCCATCTACCTCAGCCTTCCAAGTAGCCGGAATTACAGGCATGTGCTACCACACCCGGCTGATTTTTTTGATTTATTGTAGAGATATGAGGTCTTGCTGCCCAGGCGGGTCTTGAACCCGCGGGCTCAGGCATTCCACTCACCTCAGCCTCCCAAAGGCGGGGGATTACAGGCTGAACCACCGAGCCCGGCTCCTTTTTTATTTTGAATCTTAGTTGTTACTCAGTACTAACTGCTACATGGAAACATACCCATCTGTATTGATCTGCATTGAACAAAAAGAATCCGCAGCTTGTAGTTGCAGCTCTTTAGGACCCATGTTTCTTCTCCACCTTATAAATACGCTGTCAGGCAATTCTAGTTAACTCTTAAGGGCACTCAGAAGTGCTAGTTTTAGAGAAAGGACAGAATGCTGATTTTAAGATACTAAAAATTTTATGATTCATTTCATGATTTTTCAGTGGGAATTTTAGGGATACACTCACCCCCAATATTATCTTACATACAAGTCAATTTACAAATTAATATTGTATCAAATTGTGTGTGGCTAAGTACTTTTATTTATATATTTTTTGAGTTGGAGTCTCACTCTGTCTCCCAGACTGGAGTGCAATGGCTGCTCCCGGCCACTGCAGCCTCGACCTGCTGGGCTCCGGTGATCCTTCCGCCTCAGCCTTCCAGGTAGCTGGAACTATAGGCGCGCACTACCGTACCCGGCTAGTTTTTTTGATTTATTGTAGAGACAAGTTCTCGCCAAGTTGCCCAGGCGGGTCTCAAACCCGCAGGCTCAGGCAATCCACTTGCCTCGGCCTCCCAAAGTGCTGGGATTACAGACTGAGCCACCGAGCCTGGCCGGCTTAGTAATTTTATTGAGAAGGATTGACAGGTATGCTATGTGATGCCAACAGTAACTTTGATACTTCTAAAACTATGACTTTTAAAGTGCCATTGTCATGGAAACAGCAATGTAGTCTTTTTTTTTTTTTAAACTTCTTTTAGCCAGAAACATAAACTGACACTGTAATTATTTCTGAAATGGTAAATTGAATAGACTTGTGAAACTAGCAATTTATTAGGCTTTTAATGATACCTAAGCCAAAGACTGAGGGGGTGTGTATATTGCTTTGTGCTGTTTTTCAGAAGCTTTTTTATTTCTTTGCTGTTTTACTTTTTCCTTAATGTTCTTATTGGAACTTTAGAAGTGAAAATTGTGAAATAACTTAACATTTATTTTTAAGATAGTTTTGGGAAATTATTCAATGTAAGTTTGACAGCATATTCCTTTGAATGTCACAATTATTTTGTTAAATTTGAGGGCTTAGGAAGGAGAGAAGCCTGATGGTTGTTTCTAAATTTTTTGGAAAATGTTAGAAAATGAATTTGGGGCCAGTAGAAAATGAATTTTGGACCAGGCATGACAATAGCTCATACCTGTAATCACAGCAGTTTGGGAGGCCGAGGCAGGAGGATCAACGATCATTTGAGGCCAGGAGTTTGAGACCAGACTGAATAACATAGTGAAACCCTGTCTGTACAAAAAATGCAAAATTAGCCAAGTGTGGTATCACACATCTGTAGTCCCAGCTACTTGGGAGACTGAGGCATGAGAATCGCTTAAGCCCAGGAGCTCAAGGTTACAGGAGTTATGATTGTGTCATTGCACTTCAGCCTGGGTGACAGAGCAAGACCCTGTCTCTTACAAAAGATAAAGAGAAAAATGAATGTTGATATATACTGTGTCTGAAATCCAGTTTGAAGAGCATTTGTACATGTATAAAAAGGAATTAGTTCAAGGTAAAGTTTTGTTCTGGATAAAGTATTTGAATCATTTGGAAGTGGTTTGAATTTTTTTTCTATTCTTTTTTTTGAGTTGGAGTCTCACTCTGTTGCACAGGATAGAGTGTAATGGAGCGTTCATGGCCACCGCATCCTCTACCTATTGAACTCAGGTACTCCTTCCATCTCAGCCTTCCAAGTAGCTGGACTTACAGGCATGTGCCACCATACCCTGCTAATATTTTTGATTTATTTAGAGATGAGGTCTTGTCAAGTTGTCCAGGCTGGTCTTGAACCTGTGAGCTCAGGCAGCCCTCTCACCTAGGCCTCCCAAAGTGCTGGGATTATAGATGAGAGCCGCCACGCCCAACCTGGTTTGAATATTTTTTTAAAACCAGTTAGGGCTGGGTGCAGTAGCTCATGCCTGTAATCCTAGCACTTTGGGAGACCAAGGCAGGAGGACTGCTTGAGTCCAGGTGTTCAAGACCAGCTTAGGCAACATAGCTAGACCTTGTCGGTACAAAAAAATTTTTTTTAATTAGCTAGGTAAACGTGGTAGTATATGCTGTAGTCCCCGCTGCTCAGGAGGCTAAGGTGATAGGATCACTTGAGTTCAAGAGGTTGAGACTGCGGTGAGCTGTGATTGTGCCACTGCACTTCAGGCTGGGGTGACAGAATGAGACCCTATCTCAAACAAAAAACAAGGCCGGGCGTGGTGGCTTAGGCCTGTAATCCCAGCACTTTGGGAGGCTGAGGTGAGAGGATTGCCAGAGCTCAGGGGTTTTAGACCAGCCTGGGCAACTTGGTGAGACCTTGTCTCTTCAATAAATCAAGAAAAATTAGTTGGGGATAAGCCAGAGTTATCACCTCATCATGGATTTTGAGAAATAAGACAAAAGGGAGCTTGCATATCTTGAGTATAGAGAGTTTTTTTCTCACTCTGTAGCACTTCCAGTAGTGCATCTTTCCACTTGCTGGTTCCTCAGAAACCCACAGTGGTTTTCTCTTATCAGGTTTAATTCTGGGCTTTCCTTTGTAAGATGTGGAAAGGCTGTGAAGAGCAAATGGGAAGTTTCACTGTTGCTGCTTGAGAGAAGTTTTAGAATTTGTCGGCAAACTGAGACTATAAAACTATAGTAAAAGTGTGCATTTGTGACTCCTCATTTATGATTTCTCGTCACTGCTATGTCTCAGATCTTGTTTAACTTTTTATTAATTTTAAAAGTACTACAGTCATTGTTTTAAAAAAGCAAGTAAGAAAATAAACTCTCCTGCATCTCCCACTTCCAGTCCTGCTCAGTTAACAGTGATGTCACTGTTAACAGTTTGTGTTCTTACCCTTCCAGAATGTTTTTCCTATATGTTTGCAAATAAGTATAATTTTAAAGGATAAGACTTAAAAATAATATGGGATCATGTTATAAATACATCTTGTGTTTTCTCCCCTCAAGAATATTTGCAGTTTTTCTCCTGTTTCACGATATACCTATTTTATTTTTCAAACTTGTATTTCTAAACATTTCTCTTGAATAGTTAAGACATCATACTGTGTACAATTCAGTAGTAAGCAGTTTTTCAGAGGTACCAAGTGACTGTTTTTCTTTGCACAAAATCCTTTGGGTTCACAGGTAGGGAGGTACAGCCACCTTTCTTCATTGGGAGGAGTGGGTGTGTGTTGTGTACTCTTCAGCAGTATTGATTACTTATCATTATTTTCTGATCAGTTTGAGAGGAAACAGTGATCAGAATCTTGGTCAGAAATATATTCTGTGGAGTTTTACCATTCATCTGAGGATGGCCCAAAGGCGTGGGAGTTTTAGGGAAGAAAGAAAAGAAGGATGAAGGTGTAGGTTAGCCAACATCGGCTATTTTCATTCTTGTCTTATCTTTTTACACCCTTTTCCGACTATGTTATGAGAACAGAGGGATTTCTGTGATTGTTAGAACTCAAACTTATGTGTGCATAAGAATAGCTTGAGACTGGGTACAGTGACTCACACCTGTAATCCCAGCACTCTTGGGGGCTGGGGTAGTAGAGTTGCTTGAGCTGAGGAGTTCGAGTTCAACCTGGGCAACATAGCAAGACATCATCTCTACAGAAATTTTAAAAATTAGCCAGGCATGGTGGCTCACACCTATAATCCCAGAACTTTGAGAGGCTGAGGTGAGAAGATTGCCTGAGCTCACAGGTTCGAGACCAGCCTGGGCAATTTGGCAAGACCTCATCATTACAGTAAATCAAAAAATGAGCTGAGTGTGGTGGTGCATGCCTCGGGTTCCAGCTACTTGGAAGGCTGAGGCAGAAGGATCTCCTGAGCCCAGCAGGTCAAGGTTGCTGTGACTGTGAGCTTGCCATTGCACTCCAGCCTGGATGACAGAGTGAGACTCGAACTCAAAAAAAAAGAGAGGAAAAAAAAAAAATTAAATACAGCAGAAAATATCAGAGCATATTATATATAGTAACTATTTTGTGAAACCTATTTTAATTACATATTTATGTATGCATGTCTTGGGTCCTAATATAAAGATTATTTTTTGCTATGGGTTACAGTGAAGAAAACAGAAAGCTGATTTTCAATAAATTGCAAAAGCAATATAAGCTATACGTTCCATAGTTCTTGAAACAAGCTGAGATTTTCTTTATTGACTTTGGGAAGCAAGAAAATTATTTCAGTTTCTTTGATGAACAGTTTTGGGCTTTGTACTATCCAAGGTAATTTTAGAAAGCATTCTGAATATTTGTAAGACCTTCTGATAGACTGAGTATTGAATTTGGCAACATCTTGAACTGTAATTCTGTTTTATTAAACATCACTATGTACATGTGCGACAGTGTGTCGTGACTAATGTCCTAGTGAGCGAATTCTTGTAATTAAGACATGTTTTGCTTGCCTCATAGTCTTGGGAATCTTTTTATCCTCTAAAAGAAGCTAACGTTTTCAGAATAGATTCAGATTTCTTATGTGGAATTTTGAGTTCATTTAGTTGAGACTTATGTGCTTAGTTGACAAATTTTTGTACTAAAATATTTAAGATTAATTCTAGTTAATTTATTTCAGATTAAATTTAGTGGAAGCTTTTGTAGAAGATGCAGAATTGAGGCAGATTTTACAAGAAGATTTACTTCGTCGATTTCCAGATCTTAACCGACTTGCCAAGAAATTTCAAAGACAAGCAGCAAATTTACAAGATTGTTACCGACTCTATCAGGGTATAAATCAGCTCCCTAATGTTATACAGGCTCTGGAAAAATATGAAGGTAATAAATGATTTTTATTTTCTTTCACTTTTACAATATATACTTGGCAAATGTGTTGTCCTCATAAAGCTGGTGCCAGTGACTTGTTCTTGTGATACTACATTTTCTAACAGGTTTGTATCGACCTATAGATTCATGGCAGAAGCCAGGAGACATAAGACAATTTAGGATTGTTGCTTTTTGGAAATGAATGTTATAGTTACTGGACTTGTTATTAAGGCCTATTGCACTATCAGAGGCAAATAAACAGGGTTCAATTGCTGGGAAAAACCTCACAGTAGCTGGGCTCAGTGGCTCAGCCTGTAATCCCGCGCTTTGGAAGGCTGAGGTGAGTGGATTGCCTGAGCCCGTGGGTTTGAGACCCACTTGGGCAACTTGGCGAGACCTCATCTCTACAATAAGTCAAAAATTAGCCATGCCTGTAGTTCCAGCTACTTGGAAGGCTGAGGTGGAAGGATCGCCGAAGCCCAGCAGGTTGATGCTGCGGTGGCTGGGAATGGCCACTGCACTCTAGTCTGGGTGACAGAGTGAGACTCCGACTCAAAAAACCCCCCCAAAAAACCAAAAAAAACCTCACAGTACCTAAAATGGCAATGCTTACACAATTACAGCTTATTATAGGAAAATGATACAGGCCGGGTGCAGGACTCATGCCTGTGATCCCAGCACTTTGGGAAGCCGAGGCAAGAGGGTTACCTGAGCCCAGGGGTTTGAGACCAGCCTGGGAACTTGGTGAGACCTCATCTCTACAATAAATGTGAAAATTAGCCTGGCATGGTAGCATGCACCTGTAGTTCTGGCTACTTGGAAGGCTAAGGCAGAAGGATCAACGGAGCCTAGCAGGTCGAGGCTCCGGTGGCCATGAGCGTGCCATTGCAGCCTGGGCGACGGAGTGAGACTCCGACTCAAAAAAAAAAAAGAATACGATCCAGTAACAGTGTTAAAGATATATGCATCCAGTCAGAGTTTGTTGTAGCAAGTTTTCCAGAGTCCAGCTGTGAGGTCTAGTTGTCCTGGGTTTTGTAAAGTCTGTGGTGGGTTGCACTTTCTCAGATCAGGGTATATGCACAGGACACCTGGGAACCAGAGAGCCCAAAATAGAATCTTGGTTGGCCTTTTAAATATTTTTCTTGTCATGTGGTCATGTTTCTGTTCTGTAACTAGCCTCTTCAGTAGAGTCCTCTGAGGTGGGGATGTCTAGCTGAGACCAGGTACAAATCATCACCACTATAAACAATGTCGAACAAGCAGAACAAACCACCCTGGATGTTCTTGGAACCCATGGTTGCAAAACAACACCATTCAATCGGTACATTTCATACCTTGATCAGGGGTCTTCATGTAGGAATTTCAACAAAACAACACAGACCAATAGGACTGTTGGAATTCACTCTTCCAGCACGCCTATGAGAGAACGTTAAGACAGAAGGTCTTGGTGTTGTCTAACAGTTGAAGTCAAAGTGAATTTACCAGAATTAAGTGAATAAAGTCACATATCATTGATTAATACAATATTGGTGGATAAAATAACTTGTTCTAATAAGCATAGTTTTTAACTTTAAGTAAACATTTCTGCAACAACAGTTTTAGTAATTACAGTGTTATTATGTCTAATGCATAAGGCATTTTAAATTTCACTTAAAAATCACCTTTCCTTGGAATTATTAAAACATACCTTTCAATATTATGGGAAAGCTTTGCTGTTTTGTTCAGACTTAAGGACTTTATGATAACAGGATGCAAAATAAGTATAGGTTTAAATTTTATGGTAAACTTTCTACTTTCTTGTCTAGCGTAAAAGGTAGCTAAGTACTTACCTTCTCCAAGCACCTGTGGTATAGAAACATTCCCATGGTGGTCAGCGCTTCTAAGTCACAGAGCCCTTGTATTTAGTTTCGCCAAAGTAGAATGAAAAAAAAATGGGTCTTTAAACTTTCCTGTTTCCACACTTCTTTAGTGTGACTTAGGTGACCATTTACTCTCCTTGTGTCTCAACTTTCCCATCCTATAAATGATTATCTTCTGCTATCCTTTTCTAGATCGATACCTTCTAGTTTTGTTCCAGTAGGACCAGCTGGAAACACAAGGTGATAAGTGTTCGGGATGTAATCGGTGTAATTATGGAGATGGGGTCATTAAACAATTCAGCCTCACTCTTTGTGGTAGCAGTTTTAATCTTTCTCTCTTCATACATTTTGTAGCAGTAAATAAATATGGTTTTATTTTCCCGAGGAAGTACCAGCCCTGAGTTAGGCACTCCCTTAAGTTCTATTCCCATCCCCACTCTTTACCTCTTGCTCCCTACTTGTCCTTTGATCTCTCTACTGACTCTTTACCACCAATATTTTTAAGTGCTCACATCTATTCTTTTAAGCACAGGCACCGCTATCCTTGAGTTGTCTTCTAGTACCATCTATACCAGTATCCCTCCATTCCCAGCCAAGTTTCTAAAAGTCTGTGCTTCCGTCTTCCAGTCACTCATCTTGCTTCCAGTCCTGACCACAGTACTGAAATGGCATTTGCTGGGTTACCTATTTTTTGTTAAATCCATTGAATACAGTCCTTACCTTGTGGGACTTTACAGATGTTTGATAATCTTTTGTTTGTTTGTTTTTGAGTTGGAGTCTCACTCTGTCGCCCAGACTGGAGTGCAGTGGATGCTCCCGGCCATCGTAGCCTCGACCTGCTGGGGTCCGGTGATTCTTCCGCCTCAGCCTTCCGAGTAGCCGGAATTACAGGCACGCACTACCATGCCTGACTGATTTTTTTGATTTATTGTAGAGATGAAGTCTCACCAAGTTGCCCAGGCGGGTCTCGAACCCGCGGGCTCAGCCAATCCACTCACCTCAGCCTCCCAAGGCGCAGGATTACAGGCTGAGCCACTGAGCCCGGCTTGATAATCTTGATTTTCCTGAAACTCTCTTCTAGGATTCTGGTAACCATTTTTGTATTCCTGGTTTTTTGTTTTATGGGATATTCCTTTTTATCTTTTTTTTTCCCCCTCTTATGTGTTCTTGACCTTGTTAAAGTCTTATTTTGGCTCTCTTTTCACTTAGTACCCAGGACCTTTGTTTTTGAGTTGGAGTCTCACTCTGTCACCCAGGCTGGAGTACAGTGGCAAACTCACAGCCACCACAGCCTTGACCTGCCAGGCTCAGGTGATTCTTCCACCTCAGCCTTCCAAGTAGCTAGAACCACAGACACATGCCACCACACCCAGCTGATATTTTTATTTATTGTAGAGATGAGTTCTCGCCAGGCTGGTTTCAAACCCCTGAACTCAGGCTGTCCTCTTGCCTCTGCTTCCCAAAGTGCTGGGATTATAGGTGTGAGCCACTGTACCCAACCAGTACCAGGACCTTTAAAAATTGGGATTCTTGAATGTGTTCTTGGAGGCTTCCTGAAATTTTATGCAAAATTGTGTGCATATGTATATTTTCTGGGGAAAGGGTCTGTAGCATCGGATATTCAAAAGCACATGTATCCTCTCTCGTAGAGAAGGGAGGGAAAAGAGCATGTGTAAACAAACACCCAAGAAGGTAAGTATTGCTGTTCACATTCCTTGGGTGAACTCTCTCACTCCTGGGGGTAATTATTGGTTTTAGCATGGCTCCCTTCTTTAGCCTCCTTATATATGCATGATCTGATACACTTGATGAGAGTTTTGCATCAAGTCAGTAATTCTCTATTTATCTGATGTTATACACTTGATTATATGGACTTAATGTTATAAGAGGTCATAACATTATAGGTTTTCACATTATAGGTTTAGCAACTGTATCCAGTTAAGACATTTGATATCACTTAGCTTGGAAAATGTTAGAGAGAGAAAGGCTGTTTTCAGGTGTTGTGGTGCTCAGAGCACAAAATGTTTGAGACTTGATTAGACTCTGGTCATTGGGAACTAAAGGACCAGGATGTCATTTGTTGTCAGTATAATGAACTCATTATAGCTCCTTAACATGCTGATTCCAAAAAGAAGATCAAAAGTGGGACTCATTTGTGCAGGAAATAGGCTTTTTTTTTTTTTTTGAGTCAAGTCTTAACTCTGCCACTCGAACTGGAGTACAGTAGCATGCTCACAGTTGCCGCAGCCTTGACCCTCTGCTTCAGCCTTCCAGGTAACTAGAAGTATAAGCACGCGCCACCATGCCCAGCTAATTTCTTTATTTATTGTAGAGACGTGGGCTCTGGAATCCTTTCACAACTCTGCCTCCCAAATTGCTGAGATTACAGATGTGAGCCACCATGCCCGGCTGGAAATAGGCCTTTAAAAGCCAAAACATGACTTAAAAGTTTTTCTTAATACTGTGTGTATTAGTACACTGCCAGAAATTGAGTAGGCTCCACCACCTTGTGATTTCTTTTTTGTTTTTAATTGACTCTCTAGGCTTAATGTTATTCCTGAAAATAAAGTGATTTCAGAGACAGTAGGGGGCAGCAACAGTATAGAAAGTAGATTTGCATTGAGTGATAAAAGCTCCACTTTTAAGTCTTCTTTCTCCTAAAGAAACAGCTAGTTAAAAAGATAAACTTTGCCTTCCTTATTAACTTCTTATGTCTTAATACTAAAAAAGCTGGGCAAAGCTTAAAATAACAATATTCTATACTTAGGGCAAATTTCTTATAGTGCTTAAAACAATTTATGTAGGTATCCAAATTATTTTATTAAAAAAAAAATTTTTTTTTTAGTCAGGGTCTTGCTCTGTCACCCAGACTGGAGTTCTGTGGTGTAATCATACCTCACTACAGCCTCAAACTCCTGGGCTCAAGCAATTCTCCCACCTCAGCCTCTAAATGTGCCACCATCCCTGGCTTATTTATTTGTAGAGATAGGGTCTCACTATGTTGCCCAGGCTTTTCTCAAACTTCTGGTATCAAGTAATACTTCTGCCTCGGTCTCCCAAAGTTTTGGGATTACTGGTGTGAGCTACCATGCCCAGCCCAAATTGTTTTATTGATGAAGTTTATTATAACAATTTTATTGAAACTCATTTTAT